CCCTGAACTTTAGGCAGAGGAAGATCTTCCACCACCACACCCTAGGAGACCAGGCGTCTTGGAGATTACATGTGATTCTGGGAAGGATGGCTATGCCCAGAACGTGGGACACAAGTGGATGATGAAGACTTTGGAGTCCCAGAAACCTACCTGTTCCTAAGAGTAGGCGGTGACAGATTGTTTGCAAAAATGGCCACGATTCCACTTATGTGAGATATCGAGAATAGTCAGATTCATAGAGACAGAAAGGAGAATAGAGGCTACCAGGGGCTGGGGAAGTGGGAAAAGGGCAGTTATTGTTCAGTGGGTCCAGAGTTTCAGTTTGGGATGATGAAAAAGTTCTGGGGTTGACAACACCTCATGCTGGCAAGGATGCGGCACAACAGGAACGCTCATTCATCGCCTGTGGGAATGCAGAATGGTTCAGCCACTTTGGAAAATCATTTGGTGTTTTCTTAGAAAACTAAACATACACTTACCATACGATCCACTACTTGTGCTTCTTGGTATTCACCCAAAGGAGTTGAAAACTTACTTCCACACAAAAACATGCATATAGATGTTTATAGCCACTTTATTCATAACTGCCAAAGCTTGGAAGCAATGAAGATGTCCTTCAGCGGGTGAGTGGATAAACTGTGGTCCATCCAGACAATGGAATATGATTCAATGCTAAAAAGAAGTGAGCTATCCAGCCATGAAAAGACATGGCGGAACCTTAAGTGCATATTACTAAGTGACAGAAGCCCATCAGGAAAGGCTGCAAACTGTATGATTCCAACTATATGACATCTGGAAAAGGCAAAACTACAGAGACACTAAAAAGATCAGGGGTTGCCAGGGGCTGGGGAGAGGGAGGCAGGAAAAGGAGGAGCACAGAGGATTTTTGAGTCACTGAAAAGAAATGGTCTTGTACTAACTGTAGAAATACTAAATGAGGGCTTCCCTGGTGGCGCAGTGGTTGAGAGTCCGCCTCCCAATGCAGGGGACGTGGGTTCGTGCCCCGGTCCGGGAAGATCCCACATGCCGCGGAGCTGCTGGGCCCGTGAGCCACGGTCACTGATCCTGCACGTCCGGAGCCTGTGCTCCGCAATGGGAGAGGCCACAACAGTGAGAGGCCCGCGTACTGCAAAAAAAAAAAAAAGAAATACTAACTGAATGAAAGGTAGGATTTTTGAAAAAGTCTATTAAGAAACAGTGCCAGAAATGGATGGTGGTGATGGTTGTACGACAATGTGAATGTATTGTTTTTTTCTTGGCTGCGCCGAGCGGCACGTGAGGTCTTAGTTCCCTGACCAGGGATCAAACCCATGCCCCCTGCAGTGGAAGCGCCGAGTCTTAACCACTAGACCCCCGGGGAAATCCCACAGTGTGAATGTATTTAATGGCACTGAACTGTACACCTGGTTAAAATGGTCAATTTTATGCGTGGATAAAGTCTCTTTCTAGACTTTCTCTGATCTATTCCACTGGTTTCTCTTCTATTCACGTACGAGTACTACACTGTTTTCATTCTAGAGGCTTTATAGTATTTTTAATATCTGTTGGAAAAAATTATGAAATTTATGCCAACAAATTTGACAACTTAGGTGAAATGGAAAAAGTCCTTGAAAGACATAAACTATCAAAGCTCAATTAAGAAGAAAGAGATAACCTATTTAGCCTTATATCTATTAAAGAAATTGAATTTGTTGAAAACATTTCTACACAGAAAACTCCAGGCCCAGCTGGCTTCATGGGAGTATTCCAATAAATGTTTAAGGACAAAATGAGTCAATTCTCCACAAACTCTTCCAGGAAATTCAAGAGGAGAGACTATTTCCCAAATCATTCATGAGGTGGTCGGCATTACCCTATACCAAAAACAAACAAAAATATTATAAGAAAAGAAAACTATATACCAATGTATTTCGGGAACATTAATGCAAAAGTTCTTAACAAAATTTGCGCAAATCAAATCCAATAATACATAATAAGAAAAATACATCATATCTGAATGAGTTTTATCCTAAGAATGTCAGGCTGGTTCAATATTCAAAAATTGATCAGTGCAATTCACTATATCAATGACAAGATAAGGCATATGATCATAAATGGATAAAGAAGATGTGATATATATATATCACATCCATGTGACAACATGGATGGACCTTGAGGGTATTATGCTAAATGAAATAAGTCATACGAAGAAAGACAGATACTGTATGATTTCACTCATATGTGGAATATAAAAAACAAAACAAAAACAAATGAACAAACCAAAGGAAACAAAAACAAACATGTAGATACAGAGGACAGAGTAGTGGCTACCTGTATGGCTGGTAGCATAACTGATGCCATCTTGGGCCCTTACAGTTCTCCCATCCTTTCACTGACCCCACCCAGGACTGTACTATGTAGTGAAGCACTTCTCTGTCATCAAGGGTTTTTGTAGTTAATAGATGTTGTTTAATAATCATTAGGACCTGTTAGGCTCTATGCTCCGTTAGGCCCCAAACAATGATGAAAACCTTCTGTGATGTATTCCCAGCACCCATGTGACTAGTTACCCATTCATAAGTCTTAATTTAGGAATGCATGGCCCATTTCCAAGCAACTACACCCATACCCTAGATTAACTATAAAATTGTCCCAGTGGTCCCTCAGTGGTACGGAGTGCAGCTACCAATGCTGCTGAAAGTCTGGTGGACTTGCTGTCCACCAGATCCAGATCCCATCCTGTGAGTAAGTTACCCTATAATAAACTGATCCATTGATTACATGGAGCTGCTTGCCTCGATTTTTGGTCTCAAGATGCCTTCTCAGTTTCGTGGGCACTTTTCGTTCCCTCAGTCCCGCAATATTACCAGAGGGGAAGGAAGGAAGGGGAGGGCAAAATGGGTAAAGGGGATCAACTGTATGTTGATGGATGAAAACTAAATTTTTGGTGGTGAGCATGTTGTAGTGTATAAAGAAGTAGAAATATGGGAACTCCCTGGCAGTCCAGTGGTTAGGACTCCACGCTTTCACTGCCGAGGGCCCAGGTTCAATCCCTGGTCGGGGAACTAAGATCCCGCAAGCCGAAATAGAAATACAATGTTGTACACATGAAACTTACATAAACGAATGTTACCTTAATAAAAAAAATTTAAAGAAAAAGTGGCCACAGTTATTATCCTCTCTGTACCTGCATCCATTTTCAACGCAGAGTAGCTGCTCCCATCAAGAGCTGCAGCCCTTGAACCCGGGCTGGTCTTGGGACTTGCTCTGACCAATTGAATACAAAACGTTATTCCTGGTCCAGGCCTATCTCAAGAGGCCGTGAGCATTTTTGCTGTTTCAGCATGCTCTCCTGCAACTCAGGCACCTCCCTGTGAACAAACCCAGGCTAGCCTGCTGGGGTATGCAAGACCACACAGAAGAAAGACAAGCTGACCAGCAGAGGCCATCTCAGACCAGCCTATCCCCAGCCAACCTGGCAGCAGATATCACAGACGCGTGTGTGAGCCAAGTGCATCAGTGGGGCTCAGCCCAGATCACCAGTCCGCAGGATCCAGAGCTAACTCAAGAGTTGGTGCCTTAAGGCACTAAGCTTTGTGGTTGGTTGTTTTGTAGCAACAGCTAACTGACTCAGAGTATGGCAATGGAGATAAATAAGGATTTTTTCTTGATGAGGAGCCTAACCGTCTCAGATGCTGGTTTCCCTTAAGTTGGAGAGTTTGAGGGACACCGTTTGGTAACGTAACCAAGCAGGACCCTATCGGGCCTTCCCAGGACAGACCACCCCCCAAGTCCTCCACCTGCCTCTTGTCTATAGGAAAACTTTAGCCTCCTAGGCCTTCCCTGAGTTTCAAAGAATATATTTAATCAGGGAAGTGAGAAAATGCAGAAACAAAGGAAAACAGTCAAACAAGACAAAATAATAGTTTGGCCATTAAACAAAGTCAGGACCTTTAGTTCCTCCTCAAGGGCTATAGATAATCTTCGGAGCCAAATCCTTTGAGCTGTTTTGCAGACACTGAAGCCCCCACCAGGTGGGAGAAGTTAACTGCCTGCTGCCCACAGGCACGCAGACCCCAGACCAGCTGGAACCAGAAGGTTGATGTTGACTCCTGATTACCTCACCCCCAACCAATCAGAAGAATGTCCACCAGCTGATCACATACCACACAACCCCCCCCACCCCTCCCTCACCCTGTCTTTAAAAACCTTCCCCTGAAAGCCATCAGGAGTTCGGGCCTTTTGAGCATTAGGTGCCTGGACTCCTTGCTTGGGGCCCTGCAATACACACTGCACTTCCCTTCACCACGACCCAGTGTCAGTAGATTGGCTTTACTGCGCCGGTGAGGCGAGCCGGACCCAAGTTTGGTTCAGTAATACTAATGGTTTAGGGAAAACTTGGACGTGGCCGTTACCTTCAATAACGCTGAAGGAGACTAGGACTGCTTGGAGGTCACGTTTCCAGCCTTACCAGGTTCAAGTTTCCAGCCTTACCCGTTCTTGGACATCAGAATCCAATATGAAGGAGATGTGGGTGAGTCAGCACCTGGCTGAGGACTTTCAGTGCGGTGATGGTGGGGCATGGGAATAGGAAGGGATGGGGAGCCAGGCTGGCCCTCCAAGAAGCAGGCCCACCGGCTCCCCCATGTGCCTCCAGCATCCTTTGCAGGCAGCCCTGCAACACTCCCCCTGGCCCTCTCGCTCCCCCACCCCACCCCACCCCACCCCTGCCCTCCTCCGCCCCTCCCCCGTCACCCCCCCCCCGTCCCCCCTCCCTCCCCAAGGCTTGCGGGCCCACCCTGCTTCACCTGGTGGGAGGTTCATACAGGCTAAGATTAACCGTAAATGTGGAGGTTGTTACTCAGAGCTGGGTTTCACACCTTCTGGCATTCAGTGCTAGCCTAGTTTTTAATAAAAACAACACTATTTTGGTGCCGTAAACCTATTTTTCACCATCTGGCGTACCCTTATGCCTCTATGTTTCTTCTAGTACAGCCTGACAGGAAAAAACCATCGTGGGACTAGAAGCTCTCGACCAAAGAGGATATTATTGTGCATTCAAATGGATAAGGCACCTCTCTGCAGGTTGTAGCTGCTTAACTCTGAGCAACAGACTTTCAAAAAATCCTCTTTCTACAAGTGTCAGTAGAACAAGATGAAAGAAGTTTACCTCATGAAACATTAAGGTAAAAAATGACAATCTTAAAATACCCAAGAGACTAACGAGGAAGAAAACCCATCCCTTCTGTCTCAGGGAATGGTGACAGGATGGCCCCAAGCTGTCCTCTGCAGTTTCCTTGGGGGTGACACTAAAGGAATGGAAGGCTCTGGGGGAACCAACAGTAAAAGTAGCTTAACTGAGTAAAGTCATTCTCATTGGATCAAGCTTTTAATAACTCTGTGGTAATTTTGTGATTCTCTGAATTTTCTGGAATGGAAGTCAGCTGTTGCACTTATGTTCGCCAGCACCTTTTTACTGATAAAAAGAGCTGCTCCAAAGCACACACATGTCTCTAGAAAAGGGGTCTTGTGCTTCTTTTTACTTAATGAGACTATAGTTCTTGATTCTCATGTATGGGATGAGTGGGTGTGCGTGGGTGTTCGTATGAGGTGGCTCCAGGTTTTGTGGGTTTTTGAAGATTATATAATTTGGGGGGACTTAAAAAACCCAGAAAATTAGGAAGACAGAATTAGGAAAGGAATGTTCTTTAGAATCAGAAAGAAAACACAGTACATAACATTTTAAAAGCTGAGAAATACCTCAAATCTCACATAATTCAGAAAACTGACATAACGTTTTGTTAACTGCCTGACAAACCTCTGTAACACTTTTTTCCCGACAATTTTTGCCTGCAGATGCTTTGCTTGCCTTTTCATATGACAACAATCTTGTAATATCATTTTCTAGCAAGAGGATAGAAAGATAATTCATTGTGATTTTCTTTTAGCATGGTTGATGGAAATTTGGTTTTCATTATTGATACTGTAGAAAAATTTCAGCTTTGCAGTTTGTTATTAGTAATGCTGTGTACATTTTTAGGACTGCTGTCAAATTGGGGGAAACCTCTGTCAAGTTTCTTTCATATAAAAGCTGTAAATTTTCTGGGCATATCAAGGTTTCATGTTCAGAGACCCATCTTAAATACTCTGAATTGACAATACTCAGGCAACCTGATCTCAGTGTCTTGTAGAGATCTATTATGAGATTTGTGTTATTTTTGTCAATATCAGTATTTTGGTCAAGTCAGCAAGACGAACTTTTTTCCCAGTGTGTTCATATACTTTACTTCTTCTCATTAAGTATATTATTAATCCCCAAACCCATATATTGCCTCTTTTCGGATTTTATCTCTTTTTGGTATAATCTGAAAAAAATTTTGTTACAATTTACTTCTCCATGCCAGAATCATTTCTGTTGGTTACAGATGGGCATACTTGAAAAATAATTTCATTTCATAGGGAGTTTGCAATTATATTCACTGCATTTTTCCCCCACTGCATTATTGATGATACACTTAACAAGAAAAACTTCCGTTTTGAGCTGCTCATAAGTTTAGGCATTTGACGATTGGAAGAATTTCCCACAGATCAGCTTCCGGCTCTGTACATTTCAAACCTTGTTTCTCCTCCGCCTCCTCCCACATCCCAGCTGCTCTAGAGCTCAGTGTCATGATGCCAGGTGGGCAGTGGGATTATTCCTGGAAGTCATTCCTGCCCCAGGATGGTCAGTAATAACTATGTAAACAGATCTCATGAAGGTCACAGTGAAACGTGTCCCCAACTCAACTTCCTCTTAGGCAGCTTCTAATGCTTCAGGACCCGAGGGGAAGTGTGACAGAATCAGGGTGGGGAGAGAGCCATCTTAACCAATTACAATTCAATGCAGATCTTAAACTAATTTACAGTTCACTTCTGCAGATTGTACCAACACGTATGACCAGGTGAATCCATTTCTGAGGCCACTGCCAAGAGTCTTCTGCAAATGAGGGACCCTGCCGCTTAAATTTCATCAGCTCTGTATAGGTATGAGCCTGTGAGGGGTTTTTGTTTGTTTCTTTGAATTGACAAGCGGCAGCGGAATACCAAAGGGCCGACTCCGGAAGGCTTGGATCTGTGTTTCCCCGTGACCTTGAACAGATCGTGCCCCTCTCTGTTCGCCTTGGTCCCTCACTTCCCAGCCTCCCACGCACGAAGGGCCCCCTAGCGCCCGCCCAGTCCGGGTCCCCCGCCGTGTCAGCACGCGGCCTCTAGAGGGCATCACACCCCCGTCCCGGAGCCGGGGCGGCCGCGGGACTGGGGGCTGGGTTGCCAAGGCGACGGCAGCGGCAGTCTAGCTGCTGCTGGCCAGTTTCCCAGGACTGTAGATACTTTGTGCGACAATCACGAATCGTGCTCCATGGGAAACGTCGACACCCACAGAAAAATGGTAAACCAGGCAGGGCCTTGTGCAGAACCTGCTTGGTTTTGAATGGCCGCTCGCGATGGGACAGGAGCCTCAGAGAGCTAGCCGGTTCCCTACTGATGGGCAAAGGGCTGTGACCCCTGCCGTGGCCTGGGAGGGGCCCTCCCTGCTACCAGGCCTCCCCTGGGGACTTTGCCATACCTCAGGCTCCTGAAGTGCATGGGACACTCCTTAATTTGAGGTGTCCGGGACGGGGAGGGGGTGTTCACTAAGTGATCTTAGGGTGCTTGTGACGGGCGGGACCACCAGCTAGAGAATAAGGCTCAGGGCCTCCCAGGCTGCTGCTCTTCCGGCTCCAGTCCTGGAGGGCCTGTGTTGGTGACACTGCCCTGGGCTGGGTGGCAGGATCTGATGGGGTCCGCAGAGCCCACTGGTCCCTGACCAATGCCAATCACCCTCTAAGGGGGCCACAGGGCAGGATGGGCTCCTCTCCCGCTGCATGGCCTGACCTCCAAATGGGGGCTCTGTGGACCCTATCAGATCAGCATGGGCTCGAACCCATGTCCCCTGCCTTGGTAGGTGGATTCTTTACCACTGCTCCACCAGGAAAGTCCTCCAAAAAATTCGAAAGCATACAATTCAGTAGCATTTAAAACATTCACAGCATTATGCAACCATCAACATTCTCTAGTTCCAGAACATTTTCATCATCTCAAAAGGAAACCCACACCCATTAACAGTCACTTCCTATTCCCCCCAGCCCCTGGCAACCAATAATCTACTCTCTGTCGCTGTGAATTTGCCTATTCTGGACATTTCACTTAGATGCAATCATACAACGTGTGGTCTTTGTGTCTGGCTTTCGCTCAGCACAATGTTTCTAAAGTTCATCCATGTTGTAGCAGGTATTTAGTACTTAATTCATTTTTATGGCCAAATAATATTCCATTGTGTCGATAGTCCGCATTTTGTGTATCCATTCAGCTGTCTATGAGCACTTGGGCTGTTTTCACATTTTGGTGATTGTGAACAGAAGCACGTGTACCTGGACGTCTGCATCTTGCTGTCATCTGTGGGCCCCTCTGAGGGCAGCTCTCTGCGAATGTGGGGCTGTGAGCAGGTCTTCCGGCATCTACCCCACCTCCCAACCCACCGCAGCCCAGAGAACCGTTGTGTGGTCTGGCGGGGGGCTTGGACTCACCAGTCACCACCTCAAACAGAGAGGGTCCACTGGAGTTATTTTGTTTCCTCTCAGGGGCTAGGCCTTTACAACTCAGACACCAGAATCTGCTCCTTTTTCTCTGTTTTCTGCTAATACATCCGTAAGGCAGAGAGCAAGACGAGCCAGGGAAAACGGAAGACACTGGAAGATGGGGGACATGAGGGAACAAAGGTGACAGTTCGAAAACATGAGCCTACCTACTTTCATTTTTACTTATTCTCTTGATGACAACTTGTACACATGATTGGAGGGTGGGACAAGGTGGGACATGGAAGCCACGGCCCAGGAAAATGCGGAGGGGAGATCGGGAGGGGCCCTCTTCCCCCTCATCAGGGCCAGCCTGCCCAGGCCCTGATATGAAGCAGGAAGGGGAGAGGCAGTGTGCGTATGTGGAGCAGGGGGGCAACCCCGCTTAGACAAGCAGACCCAGGTGGTTCTTCTTTACCAAGGGAGATGGGCAAATTGTGATCGCCAGTTCTGGAAAAGGTAGCCAGTGGGCCTTGGCAGGGGAAATCTCTCCCCAAGTCCACAAAAATCCACATGCAGGGAATCCTCCATAAGCCTGTGGATCAACGAACAAACTACGTCAAGGTAGGATTTTAATGGCCTGGGATCCTTTCATCCATTGAGTCCTCTAGTTACAGAAAAGAAACCCTCTGCTCTCCTCTCTGATCCACCTGCCCTTTGCTAGAGTCTAAATCGGCTGTTCCAGTGAACACAAGCAGCCCCACCCAACTCACTGCATTTGGGATTCAGCATTTACTGAGATGAAAAGATTTTTTTTTGATAAATTTATTTATTTATTTAGGCTGCATTGGGTCTTCTTTGCTGCGTGCGGGCTTTCTCTAGTTGTGGTGAGCGGGGGCTATTCTTTGTTGTAGGTTGCAGAGCACAGGCTCTAGGCGCGCAGGCTTCAGTAGTTGTGGCTCACGGGCTTAGTTGCTCTGCGGCATGTGGGATCTTCCCGGACCGGGGCATGAACCTGTGTCCCCTGCATCGGCAGGCGGACTCTCAACCACTGCGCCACCAGGGAAGCCCTTCTTTTATTTATTTATTTATTTATTTTATTTGAAAGGGGACCAACATTTGTTTCCCAAGTTTGTTTTGTTTTTTTCTTCTTTAGATCCTTTTTTTTAAAAAATTGAAGCGCAGTTGATTTATGATGTTGTGTTAGTTTCTGGTGCACAGCAAAGTGATTCAGTTATATATACATATATATGTATTTCTTTTTCAGATTCTTTTCCATTATAGTTTATTATAAGATATTGAATATAGTTCCCTGTGCTATACAGTAGGACCTTGTTGTTTATCTGTTTTATCAATATATATAGTAGTGTGTATATATTAATCCCAAACTCCTAATTTATCCCTCCCTCCTCCCCCTTCCCTCTTTGGTAACCATAAGTTTGTTTTCTCTGACTATGGGTCTGTTTCTGTTTTGTAAATAAGTTCACTTGTATTATTTTTTAGATTCCACATATAAGTGATATATTTGTCTTACTTCACTTAGTATGATAATCTCTAGGTCCACCCATGTTTCTGCAAATGGCATTATTTCGTTCTTTTTTATGGCTGAATATTCCATTGTATATATGTACCACATCTTCTTTACCCATTCATCTGTTGATGGACATTCAGGTTATTTCCATGTCTTGGCTATTGTAAATAGTGCTGGTATGAACATGGGTGCGTGTATTTTTTGAATTAGAGTTTTCTCCAGGTATTTGCCCAGGAGTGGGATTGCTGGATCATATGGTGAATCTATTTATAGTTTTTTAAGGAACCTCCCTACTGTTTTCCATAGTGCCTGCACCAATTTACATTCCCACCAACAGTGTAGGAGGATTCCCTTTTCTCCATGCCCCCTCCAGCATTTATTTTTTGTAGACCTTTTTTTAAAATATTTATGTATTTATTTGGTTGCCCTGGGTCTTAGATATGGCACATGGGCTCCTTAGTTGCAGCAGGCAGGCTCCTTAGTTGTGGCATGTGAACTCTTAGTTGCAGCATGCATGTGGGATCTAGTTCCCTGACCAGGGATTGAACACGGGCCCCCTGCATTGGGAGCGCAGAGTCTTATCTACTGCACCACCAGGGAAGTCCCTGTAGACTTTTTTTTTTTTTATGTAACTAAAATGATGAACTGTTTTTTATCTTTTTTTAAATTGGAGTATAATTGCTTTACAATGTTGTGTTAGTTTCTGCTGTACAATGATGTGAATCAGCTATATGTATACCTATACCCCCTCCCTCTTGGAAAGCCCTCCCACCCATCTAGGTCACACAGAGCACTGAGCTGAGCTCCCTGTGCTATACAGCAGGTTCCCACTAGCTATCTATTTTATACATGGTAGTGTATTTATGTCAAACCTAATCTCCCTATTCGTTCCACACTCCCCTTCCCCCACTGTGTCCACATGTCTGTTCTCTACATCTACGTCTCTATTCCTGCCCTGCAAATAGGTTCATCTGTACCATTATTCTAGGTTCCACATATATGCGTTAATATACGATATTTGTTTTTCTCTTTCTGACTTACTTCACTCTGTATGACAGACTCAACAAATGACCCAATTTTGTTCCTTTTTAATGGCTGAGTAATATTCCATTGTATATATGTACCACAACTTCTTTATCCATTCATCTGTTGTTGAACATTTAGGTTGTTTCCGTGTCCTGGCTATTGTAAATAGTGCTGCAATGAACACTGGGGTACATGTGTCCTTTTGAATTATGGTTTTCTTTGGGTATACGCCCAGTAGTGGGATTGCTGGGTCATATGGGAGCTCTATTTTTAGCTTTTTAAGGAACCTCCATACTGTTCTCCGGAGTGGCTGTACCAATTTACATTCCCACCAACAGTGTAGGAGGGTCCTCTTTTCTCCACACCCTCTCCAGCATTTATTGTTTGGAGATTTTTTGATGATGGCCATTCTGACTGGTGTGAGATGATACCTCATTGTAGTTTTGATTTGCATTTCTCTAATGATTAATGATGTTGAGCATCTTTTCATGTGTTTATTGGCAATCTGTATATCTTCTTTGGAGAAATGTCTATTTAGGTCTTCCACCCATTTTTTAATTGGGTTGTTTGTTTTTTTGATATTGAGCTCCATGAGCTGTTTGCATATTTTGGAGATTAATCCTTTGTCCGTTGCTTCGTTTGCAAATATTTTCTCCCATTCTGAGGGTTGTATTTTTGTCTTGTTTATGGATTCCTTTGCTGTGCAAAAGCTTTTAAGTTTAATTAGGTCCCATTTGTTTATTTTTGTTTTTATTTTCATTACTCTAGGATGTGGGTCAAAAAAGATCTTGCTGTGGTTTATGTCAAAGAGTGTTTTTCCTATGTTTTCCTCTAAGAGTTTTATAGTGTCCGGTCTTACATTTAGGTCTTTAATC